CGTATAGACAACAAAAGCTTGACACGAACAAGTAGTTTCACTTTAATAATCTCTTGCTAGTAAAACGCACAGCGCCTCCTGTATCATTTCCATACCCACAAATATTGGCATCTTATTTATTTATAAGATGTTCTCGCTGTAGCACTGTGATCTTTTCAGTAAAGCTAATTTCATGTATTTATTTGTAATTCTTTGTTTGTGATTCAGGAGAGTTGTTTAGCTCAGAGATTAGCTAACCTCGTTAGCTCATAAGATGCCTAGCAACTGATGGAGCATGCGCATTAGCTCAGACCGATTGCTAATGAATAGCTAATAGCAGAACAGCCGAGCCAACAGACTTCCTTCTTGCTTCTTGCACATATAAATGGAATTAGAGTTTATAATCATACAGTTCTTTTGGAGTTTTAGATATCAGGCTTTTTTAGCCAAAGGTTTCTGAACATACAAACCATCAGAAACGTGGATTTTATGCTACTAATGTTAGACATTGAAGGCTAATGACATGCTAAGACCACTTTAAACATAGCATGAGTTCCCAAGTATAAGCTTCAGGCTGAACAATGACTGGGAAACCGTAACTTAGTTTATAAAGACCATAGAGCATAAATAGACGATCAGAAAAAGAAAAGAGAGGCAGGACTACACATACATACAGACGGAGGTAATGAGGGCAGGTGGAAACAATCCGATCCTAGAAGGTAAAGGAACAAAAGAAAACAAACAAACAAACATTTCAAGTAAAACAGGAAGCAACCAAAGCGAAGTTAACTAACATCAGAGATCAGTTTTGATCTCTAGTATCTAAAATATCTGACTGTTTTGAAGTAGCAGAGTATGTACAACAACAATTTAAGTACATCACTTTAAATTAGGTTTAGCCTAAGTAGTAAAAATATTTGAAAATGTGCTTAAACAGGTGTTTAAACAGATCTGCTAATATTCTGGAAGAGCTGCACTCATCAACCTAGTGCCTATACTTTATTTACAAGTATTAGTCTATGCCATCGGTCTTTTCTGACATCTGGGCTGCAGCTGGAGCTGGGAGCGTTTCCTCTGTCATTACTATTACAGTCTGCAAGGAAGTCGTCGGTGTCTGTAGACTCTTTAGCCCACACTTTCATTTTTTAACTGCACGTACAAAATAAAAACAAATGTGTACCAATCTCATTTGTTTCCATCAAAGTTATCAGTGTTTTTTTTCTCTTAAACGCATGCTTCATCTCATAGACTAAATGTAGCCAGTCAGACTCAGAATATGTGTGCAACAGTAGAAAAAAAGGCAGTCATCTCACATCATTGGATGTTGATGTGTATTCAACACATGTAAACAAACAGAATTACATCACATAGTGATTTTTAAAGCGATCCAAGAGTGCGGAGAGATACTGATGAGCTGATTTGGTATTATGTCTGATTTATTGTTTTTAAAGCATACCAACATATCACAATCTTACAGCTGCTCACATTTAATTTTCTATCCATATTTTAAATCACGACTCCACGTTTTACATTTTCTGATCAAAACGTCACTTTAGGCGCAGTCACAGTAAATGATGAGTGAACGGGCGGCTCGATGCTTGAATTAATTGTTAAAGCTAAACAAATTTGTTTCTTCATCCATTTTTTCCCCAATGAGTCAGGCAAGAATTCATTTTTTAACCTTTTTCACAGAGGGTAAGACGCGTTTTACTCTGTCATCTACCAAGCCCCACCCCCTGCTCCTCCTTCCACGTCAACATATTCCTGTCAACTTTCCCAGACAGCCTTGTTAACTTGTCTACCGCACTCTGAACTTCTGCCAGTACGGAAACTGGCAGTAAACACATTATTTCTTCGAGTCCACTTAACATCAGCCATCACTTGCTTCACACTGATTTTTCTGTGGTTGACTTTAGTAATTCTCATTAAGTAAATTACACTCTCCAAGGTTGACGCTTCTTACTTAACCTGTTGCAAAATTCCAGCAGGACTTATCAGGGTCTCGTGAGAAAACAAAAAACCAGAAAATAACACAGAGTTGCTGAATAACTTTAGGTCTTTCAAATTTGTATAGCAAAGTGTTAAGTCTGAGTGATAATGGCTGAGAACAGCTTAAAGTGGACATTTGAGTACTGTTTCTTTTTAATTAACACACCAAAACGCAAGGCATGATTTCAACTGATGTGTAACAGACACTTTCCCATGCATCCAGGAACTCTTTGACTTCCCTACAGTTTTTTTTCCTACAGCTGTTTGTGTTAACTTTAAACACAGTAATGATTTAACTCTCTGCCTCAAACTGGATGCCATTTGTGCTTTTATATTCAAATTTGAAAATGAAAAAGCGATTTGTTGCTTGCCTAAATCTGACACCACCAAAACAGTTTTATTTTATTTTATTTTTCTCAAGTCAAATGAAGACAAGTTCCACTGACTAAATTATACAGTTTAAGAACTGTGTGGGAATTAGTGGCATCTAGTGGTGAAGAATGCCCAGAAGACAGTGGAGATTATTGTGGACTTCAGGAAGCACACAGCCCCACTCCCCCCCATCATCCTGACTGACACCCTCATAACCTCTGTGGACTCACCACCATCACCCAGGACCTGAAGTGGGAGCCCACCATCACCTCCGTCATTATGAAAGCCCAGCAGAGGATGTACTTCCTGAGGCAGCTGAAGAAATTCAACCTGCCAACACGGACGATGATGCAATTCTACACTGCAATCATCGAGTCCATCCTCAGCTCCTCCATCACCGTGTGGTACGCTGGAGCCACTATCAGGGACAAACAGAGACTGCAGCGTGTTGTGCGCTCTGCTGAGAAGGTGATTGGCTGCAGACTCCCATCTCTGCAGGACCTGCACACCTCCAGGACACTGGGGCGTGCAGCTCGGCTCTCAGCTGACCCTTCTCACCCTGGACACAGTCTGTTTGACCTGCTCCCCTCAGGCAGGAGGCTCCGGTCCATTCGCACCAGAACCGCCATGAGAACAGTTTCTTCCCCTCTGCTGTTGGACTCATGAACAATAACCGTATGACTGTTCCCACCACTAACACATGACCCTACGCTGTGTTCACTGCATCATTCCATGTTTGCACTGATCACCACCTGCACTCATGTATATATCTATCTGCTTAGCACTTTTAATTTTAATTTTTATGTTTATTTAAGCGTTATATGACAGTATGTTTGCACTAAGTACCGCAGCAATTTCCTAATGTTGTAAACCTGCTCAACATTTGGCAATAAAAGCCTTTCTGATTCTGATTCTGATTGTGATTCTGAGGCTGCATAATTACAACAAAAAGAAAACCGCACACACAGGTCCTGGTGAGGCGCTCAGTTCAGTGTAAATTATAAAAGATGTGTACAGAGCCGGTGTTGGGTTTTCCATCCTGGCCTGCTGTGGAAACAGGATAAAAGGAGCTAACAAAATTTAACAGAAGCTCAGCAGTATATAGTTATGGTTGATTGATTAAAAATAACTACAAATACCATATTTAGTTTCGTTCTGTGTCTGTGAACAGACCTCATTAAATCAGACCTTTAAATTGAGCCTCAGGTTTCTGTACCTGTGACAGATGAGGCTGCAGATGTTTTCCATTCTCAAAAAGAACATCTCTTTAAAACCTTTAGGCGATTTCCTTAAATGTGTCCCAAACCTTCCCTTTAACTCAAAAAATAAATAATAAAAATGTTCAAAGGTCAAAGGTTAGAGTCACCATGACCTCATAGAACAACTGGCAATTCAAAGATGGCAACTATGACACAATTTCACAAACAGGCCTAATAAAATAAAATGATAAAAAGACATTTTAGACCCAAAAGTTTAAAGGTCGGGTTTACTTTGGCATCATTTTGCTCTGGATTGTAAAATAGCAACATTATTTGGTCCCCACCTGAAAGTCTGAGTCTGAAGAGAATGATATAGAGATCCTACCTCAAAGCACACTGTGCGCTGTCGATATTACGTGCTGCACAATAATGTTTAATATTTAGTATTTACTAATATTCTATTACTAATTTTCCCATATATCATCGTGATGTTGTTTATTGTATTACTCTCGTTTTCTTCTGCTTTTCTTTTTTCTTTCTCAACAGGTGATCCAGGTGATTGATAGATGTATTTTTTTGTCTGCTTATTTAGTTGGTTTTTGTTTTTTTGCCCTTTATCCCCATCCCTTTTCTCGTAGTTTCCCCCCCCTCTTCCTTTCTCCCTTTTCTTTTCCTCATTCAAGTCTGTCCCGTATCTAGCAAGAGAAAATAAAAAATAAATAAAATAAACAATAAAAGGTGAATCAAATAGACCATTACGGCAAGGCTGGGATGGTCAATTTGGTAAAGTAAATCCGTTGGGCATCTTTCTTCGCCTTTAGACAATAATTCTGATGGCAAAAGAACCAAACGGGACAGCAAAAAAAAAAAAGAAAAAGAGAGAGAATGATATAGAGAATCTATATTGGAAAAGGTATTTTAGTACTTCTGAAAATGGTTAAGTATCATGCAGTTTTTAGGATCTGTGCATAATGTTGTTGTGTTCTCATGAGCAGCTGCGCACCCCAGAGAGCTTCAGCGGGTAAATATCGCCACCTTGTGTTGAAGTAGAGGATTCACTCCTGCTGTTCAATACTAACTCAATAGTTTATAAAGTTTAATATTCAAAGTGATCATTGTAAATTCTGTTAATATAATTGTACTGTAACTTTTCTTCGTTTTTCCTGTTTACAATGTTTGTTTGTTTGTTCTTGGTTTTTTTTACAAAGCAAAAGGAGGTGATGAGCACTGCACACAACAAAGGAGTGCATCAGTGTAAGTTTAACAGTAAGATAACACCTTTTGCCATTAATTCACAAATCAGTAACATTTTTTCTTACAATTTTATTTGCAGTTGTCATTTTGGCATATAATTAACACAACATGCGTAATTCACACTCTCTGCTCTGTCAGTTCCTGTCTCCACCTACACCATGTGACTTTTAGAGGGTGAGGCACTTGTGTGCACTTGTTTCACAGGGTTCAACCGCTACGCAGGACTAGGCCAAGGCTTGGACGGAGGGAGAGGCATCTTGTGCCCAGAGCCATGGACTACCAGCAGAAACTGGCTGAAAAACTCACCATCCTCAATGAGAGAGGAAATGGGGTGCTGATACGAATGAACTACATTAAGAAGGTGAGGGGGAAAAGAGGAAGAGTTAAGAGACGAATGGTGTGATCTACAACGATGAGAAATAAGGAACTTCTTGTTCATTTAATTTATTTTGGTGTAAATATGAGTTAGCAAATGATAAAAATGTATCTAAGAGCAAACACGTAAGAACACACTGATTCAGCGCTTAGCGGTAAATTAGATTTGAAGTTATTGTGAATCATTTTCTTTTCAGTTTCCTGACAAGCGTTACAAAGCAGTGATAGGTTCACTGTACAGATCACATCCTTATAGCAGCAATAAAAACAATAACAACGTTTGCTAATAGTTTAAGAGCTGAACATGTTTCATTTTTAATGCACGGAAGTAACAAACTTCAAACAGGAGCTATACCAGTACAGATGACATGAAATTTACAAATTCTCAAACTCAAGAGGGTTTTCTGAAGGTGGAGTTTAAACTCTGGTTATGAGATATAGAGATATAAAGAGATAAACTATGAGCTGGGGGCACTGTTTTGTGTGTTTACTGGCTTTGCAGGATGGGAAAACTGTCAACTGAGGCTCTTGCTGAATGTATTTTTGAGGAGAGGAAGTGCAAACAGGAAGTTGGTCTGTGCTGTCAGTCAACTCAAATTTCAGTTACTTTGAACATAAAGCTGTAAAACTCCCACAAAAGCAGTAAAATTAGTGAACAAATAAAAATACGTGATCGTTTTAGCCACATGTGTGTCGATAGCGCGAGTCTTGGCAATTGTAAAATGACTGGAGAGACTAATGGATTCACACCGACAACCAACACATTTTGAGAAACGGCAGTTTGCATCCATGTGCATGCACATACTGTATGTTTCTGTTCATCAAGGGGAAGTGGATAAACAGCTGAGACTTCAGCAAAACCCCAACAAATGCATTTTTCCACTTCTGCCCTCACACTTGTGAGCTTTGAGCGAAGCCTTTTGCTCTCAGCGTCTAAACAGCCCTACAGGAACAGTTTTATGTTAATGATCTTGCTCAAGAGGTTGTTTAAAGGGGTAGTGAAAGCACAGCCAAGTTACTTTACTTGTTTTCTTGTCATTGGCATTTTCTACCTATCGTCTAGCGGCTCTTAAAAAATAAATAAATAAATAAAAGCTATGAAACTGAAATGTGAAAACATGACATGTTCCTGTCCTTAATCTCCACACCTCTCATCTAGACATGTGGAGATCCCAAACTGCGGCCCTCCTTCCTGACAGATAAGGCCATGGAATCTGCCATCAAGTATATCAACAAGAAATTCCCCAACATCGACTACAGGGGAAACATTGTAAGTGCAAACCGCTTTTGTTCGAGCTTACTTTTCCCCGAATGTTCGTCTCGATGTTTTTCTTCTTGTTTTGTTGGCTTGTGTTCATAAAGGTTCTGTTTCTTGAAATGAAAATGAAAACATCATTAAATATGCCAGAAAGTGCTTTGCTTGTGTTGTACCAGAAAGATTAACGTGCGAAAATGAAAGTTTGAGCTCTCGAGAACATAAAATTGATTTATGAAAGCAACACTTCTGTGTTTTTTTTGCAGTGCGCTGTAAAGTATTTACCAATTTGCTGATGTTCTTTATGTATTATGTTCGTGTATTTCTTGTAATTCATCAATCACTGTCAACCACAGAGGAAGTTAAACATCACCTCACATCTAACCACTGATGTCTTCATTATTGTTTAGCAAAATCTGACCAGCATCCAGCGACAGAAATCAGAAGTGCTGTCCAACACAACGAGCTACTACGAATCGTTCCTGGATGTCATTGAATTCAGGGTGAATATAGTTGTTTTTCATCATCTCACATTTAAAATCTCACAGTTGTTTTTTGATATTGAGTATGTTATTGAAACATAATATATGGTAAATG